TACTTGTAGACGTGATCAGGGATCTTTTTGCTAATCGTTCTGTGACACACATGACATTGGTCTCCTGGTACTGTTGGTAAGTATACTTGTAGACGGGATCAGGGATCTTTTTGCTAATCGTTCTGTGACACGCAGGACATTGGTCTCCTGGTACTGTTGGTAAGTATACTTGTAGACGGGATCAGGGATCTTTTTGCTAATCGTTCTGTGACACACAAGGCATTGGTCTCCTGGTACTGTTGGTAAGTATACTTGTAGACATGATCAGGGATCTTTTTGCTTATTATTCTGTGACACACACTGATTTGATTGAAAACCCATACACGTGTTGGACTTCAACAGTGCAAAGCCTTCAATTTTTGCGCGAGACTGTATATTTATTTAGAATTCATTTTCGAAAATGTTTATGAAAAAGAAACCTTTGACAAAGATAAAAAGAATGACTTAGTTTTGCTCGTACAAGAAGCCGTAAATTTACTTTTTTTTTTTCTTTTCTTGATATGAAGCTCTAAACCTTTAAAATAATTTATTGTGCGTTTCGTCGTCCTTGAAATCCTTCCCGGATTCTTGAAATTTATAAATTTATCATGCTTTTTCTTAAAATGTTTTGCACACTCGAATTTTCACCAAAATGTTCAACCTCAAGTTAAGAAAAAGTGTCACTATATTTCTCAAAATTGACAACATATTGTCAATTATTGAGCTTGCAATGACAGAGACATGTGAGTAATTGTCTAAGGTGTTAAAAAAAGTCTTCATCATTACCAGCTCACATTTTATCTCGCTTTGATGCAAATGCACGGCTACCTTTTATGGCGCAGGGAACTGTGAAGGGGAATATTATGATCCAAAAAAAATTTCAAGGGATCTTTTTTTCAGTAGTGGGCAGTCATCTTGACACTTATATCAAAATTTCAATTTAGTTTTTGTTTCTTTGTTGTTGTTTTTTTCTCCAGGATTGTTTGCGCCATGTTTCTTTATGTCATTACTCTCAATTCTGTTTCCATTTGTGGTAATATGTATCTGAACTTTTTGATAACCAGTTTGGTTGACTTGTTTGGGTTTATAGGCATTCCAATTCTGATGTGGTAGGTACAATTGATCCGCATATACAGTCAACTCTCGTTACAGCGGACACCGTCGGGACCATCACGTGGTGTCGTCACTTGCGAGCGTCCGCAAAAGCGGAAATAATTTACGGTCATTTCTTTGTCAATATTTTTGTCGGAGATTTTTCTCCTGTCCGTAAAAGCAACGTGTCCCTAATATCACGGTGTCCGCAAGACGAGAGTTGGACTGTAATGCAATCTATATTTTTCTTTTTTATATGAATCATTTTTTACGAATTACTTTAGCCCTGATGATACCCTAGTAGTGCGAAAGCTCAGTAAAAATAAAAAGATGTGGAAGAAACAAATTCTACATAGTATTCATGGTACCTACGTACGACAACGTTCCAGACCTCTATATTGTTTTTTGTTTTATACACTTATCTGTTGAAGAAATAGAAAAAGCGCACGTTTTGTGTGCAGCTATAAAGCACGCGGGGGTTGGCAGAACACGAGAGAAGTGTTGAAAATTACATGATTGAGTAGCCCGCACTGTGTAATGAAGATTTTGTTTGACATTTTTTTCAATTTTTCTGCATTATCGTAGATGTTTTTACGCTTTTGCTATGTTATAAAATCATTGGTCATCGATTAGCGTTCATCCATCGAGTTTTTGGGTGCACGGTCGGATGCTTAAGCACTCAAGAAGCTAGATGGTCTTACTTGTCTACACCTCGCGCGACTCTTACACTTCCTTAATGACCAATCTCCATAATATTTTTCAGGGTAGGCAGAAAGAAGGCAATTGCTTTCAGTCTCTGGATGGCAGGTTTCGCTGGCATAGTTTCAGCGCTCTTGAGCTACTATGAAAACGGCAGTAAAAGTGCAGAATACCAAATAACAGTTAAACTATATAAAAAATGAACCGAGGAGAAACCGAGAAGGTGCTGCCTTTCAATGTTATAACCACTGCAAATGGTTAGACCTTAAAGTCTTAAGGATGACTTAAGACTGTAGGCTCCATCTGTCTTCAATTTGTAACCCTGTAAAAGTCAATATATAAAAGCCCACTGAAGAAGCGTGCTAACACTACAGGGTCCACAGCAATTGTCAAAAGCTGTTGTGGTGTCCTTCCCCTCACGCTTTAAAAAGCACAATTAATATTTAAAAAATACGTTTTTTTGCCCAGATCACTGCAATATTGGACGAGTTCATGCTATTTGAATGCAACTTAAAGCGCCAAGCGTTTACGGTCTGTTAATTTAGAGAGACCTAATGAAAGCCAAGAGCCGTCCGGCTTAACTTTATTAGACTCCTAACTGCATGCATGCTTCAAGAATACTGCAGAATTAAAGTCCCAGCACTTTATTTTTTCCATTGAAAAGTCTACTCCACCCATAGAGGTAATTGTCTTATTTTTTTCAGGTTATGAAGCTGGGAAGATCATTATGGCCATGGTTTTGGGCAAGATTTTCATCACCATCGCCTATAACATCGTGTACGTGTACTCTGCAGAACTTTTCCCTACTGTTGTGAGGTAATATTTGATAACATATCTGGTTGACACAGGAAAATGAGCTGCAGCCTTTTTCTGTGATAAATAAGACTAGTCGAGGTGTTTGGTATAACACACACTCAAACAGACAAGACAGTTTTTTATCTACTTATAATGTATCAGGTATTAAATTCTTTTAAACTCTCGTTGAACGAAGAAAAGTTAAAACACATTAACAACGAGAATAGTTTGCTTAGGAACACGGGGCGTACCCGAGTGTTCCTCTTTCTTTTTGACTCCTGTACGTTCAGAAGTATAAATTTTTATATCGTTTTTATAAATTATTTTTGAGCTATTTTTTGCTAGCAAGTATCTGTCCTTTGATATAACACCATACCCAGCTACAATTGTAAAACAAAAATTCCCTCCCCTCCCCTCTGTTTCCTTCTCTTTCCTCACAACGCAGAAGTGTCTTTTTATTCAGGAATACAGCGATGGGTACTTCATCATCAGCTGCTCGCATCGGATCAGCTTGTGCTCCATACATCGTCTTCTCGGTAAGTATAGCCAAAACCTGGAATCAAAACCGGTGTAGCGGTAGTGCTTTTGCCTCTCAACCAATAGGATACGTTTCGAGCTGGTTTCTTAGACCCAGCATTACATGTGAGTAAAGTTTGTTAGGAAATCTTCCTTGATTCAAGAATTTTTTTCTCCAATTTCTCCGGATTTCCTCCTAAAATACTAAATTCCAAGTCGATGTATCTGTGAGATAGGTTTGTTATGACTTTGATAAGCCAGTTAAGTTATGTTATGTTATGTTATGACTTTGTTTAGCCACGCAGAGAAAGTTTCGCGTATCGATCGATAAAATTAGGTATTTGAAAACCTTACGTCACCTCCTGGGTTTCACTCCCAAAACAACAAAATCAATTTCAAATATTTCACATTGGTGACGACTGAGGTGAGGCCTGAGGTAGGGCCCTCCGCAGCAAAGAGTCCATCCATCCATGGAACACTATGCATGACTTTGCCAGAAACCAAGGACAAGGCCATGACTGACACCATCAAACAGGTCGATATGATCAGCCAGGACAGCGGGATCATTGAAGCCGGCAATGGAGGCAGTCCAGAAACAGACGGCGAGAAGACGAAGTTAGCGCCTATTTGTGCTACGCTCGAGACCACAGCATAGAATAGACGCTTAGTTAGTTGAATAATCAATGTTTGGAAACTACATGCATAATTGGGGCTGTCCGGAAAAAAAATCAAAAGTTTAAGATTACTATATTGTTTGAGATATCATGGGAAGCTGTGAAACTCGAAATGACTAAGGAAAATTGTGTTCGACTTTATTCGAAATAAACGTCTTACTTGTTGAGTATTTAAATCAAACTTTTTTTGCCAGCTAGAAACTGTTCAGATAAGAAAATTGGAGAGACATTTTAGCAAAAAAGGAACATCCTCTTTAGTCATGAAGCTCTAATTTAAATGAATTGTTACATATCCTGCAAAGTGTTAGCATTGCCACAGTGACACCCTTGTTCAGGTAACACTATAAGCCCATCGYATCATTGTCCCAAGCAGTGGTCAAGTGCCACCATTGAAAAAGTAACACCATTAGCCCATCGCACCATTATCTCAAGCAGTGGTCAAGTGCCACCATTGAAAAAGTNAAGTGCCACCATTGAAAAAGTAACACCATTAGCCCATCGCACCATTATCTCAAGCAGTGGTCAAGTGCCACCATTGAAAAAGTAACACCATTAGCACATCGCACCACTATCTCAAGCAGTGGTCAAGTGCCACCATTGAAAAAGTAACACCATAGCACATCGCACCATTATCTCAAGCAGTGGTCAAGTGTTTACCATTGAAAAGGTAACACCATTAGCCCATCGTATCATTATCTCAAGCAGTGGCCACGTGTTCACCATTGAAAATGTAACACCATTAGCCCATCGTATCATTGTCCCAAGCAGTTGCCCAGTGCCACCATTGTCAAGGTAACACCATTAGCCCATCGTATCATTATCTCAAGCAGTGGCCACGTGTTCACCATTGTCAAGGTAACACCATTAGCCCATCNTCAAGGTAACACCATTAGCCCATCGTATCATTATCTCAAGCAGTGGCCACGTGTTCACCATTGTCAAGGTAACACCATTAGCCCATCGTATCATTGTCCCAAGCAGTGGCCCAGTGCCACGTTTGTTCAAGTAATACCATTAGTCATTTCGCACTATAGTCCCATGCAGTCGCCCCGTGCTACCACTGTCCTAGTAACACCATTGGCCCATCGTACCATTGTCCCAAGCAGTTGCCCAGTGCCACCATTGTCAAGGTAACTCATGATAAGCGCATCGCACCATTGTCCCATGAAATGGACTTGTTTCATTATTGTCCTAGTGATAATTTTGTCCCAGCATCTGCCACTGGTTACCTACCCTGAAACCCAATAGAATGTAATAGATGTAGTAAAACCATACTTGCACCCTTTTCATATTGTGCGCCGTATATAGGCAGCATGGAGCGCTAGTAAAACGATTGCTTCTCACTTCTAATCTGAGATTATGTTAATGAAAACAATAATTGCAGTTCTAAATCAGGATCTTTTTTTGGTTCATCATTCGATTTCTGCCACTTAGATAACAAATAATCCGTACCTCTTAGGAGTAAATGTCGTTAGTCGCAATGCTCAAGTTAGTTGCAAGTCTTGGGTACCACAAGATTGAACCTGAAAAACTGGGGAACACTCCCGGCATTTAAAGGAAAAGATCAGATTAAATTTTGAAACTTACTTCTTTTTCCTCTTTTTCCTTGTATAAATGAAAGTTTCCACCGGTTTTCACATTTAATCACGTGGTATATTGTAGTCACGAATAAGCAAGTTTTTGGTTTTTGTTTAGTTATATTGTTTTTTAACTGCTATGTTCGTCTTTGCGTGCGCATGCCTTTGTTTATTGTTCCGTTCTACATTTTCAAGTGAGCATCCTTTGTTTATTAAATTTATTTCTTTGCATAAGCGTCAGTATATATAGCCTGTACATTAGTATTCAAGTTTAGTTTTTCACCTCCAGTCAAGTTGTAAGCWCAGTGGAACACAGATCTTGTAAGTTTATCGTTTTCATTTTTTCCTTTAGTTTTTCCGTACCGTATTATTTCTTGTTTGCTTAGTTTAACTTTATTGACTTATTTTCTTGTTATTTGTATATCGTAGCAAATCGTTTGCTTAATGTAATAAAAGGTACAACGCAATTAAAACAGTGAATACATATATAATTCAATTATCGGCGCATGCGTAATGGTTTGGGAGGCATTTTATGCCTACTTCTTATGGGACCACTACTTGACACGTATTTAATGGATCGCTCGCAGCAACGTAAATGCTATATATCAAGCACTTTAGTCTCGAAATAGTTTTCCCACATTCTATTTTAGGACCTAGAATATTTTTCATTTAAGTAGAACATTTTAAATGCCATTCCCGAAAAAGCTGTACTATGGGTTTATTGATGTTACTAATAAAGCATAAGAATACGCCTGAGCGCATGAATTTTAGTCTTAAAGTGTATGTCAAGGAAAATTCTTTATATATTTTCAAAATCACTTACATGTGAACAGTGTAGTAGTATGGTTGCAGTATTTTTGAATGTGGTCTTCAAGACTAACTTATTTATTATGCAAAAATGTTGTTGTGGAAAGTACTGCTGTTTTTTCATTTGCTTATAATACACTCGAAACGATTACTCGATTCTGATTGATAAAGAGTACTTATAGTACACTCAACAAAATTACTCGACTCTGATTGGTCGAGAGGAGTACAATTATAGCGTTAATTGTACTCCGTAGGAGTASTGAATTAAGTCGCTATGGAAACACGGCCAAAACAATGTCAACAGCAGCAAAAAGAAGAAAAAAAAGAAAAAAAGAAAAAAAAGCCGTAAAAACTAATAAGAACTAATCGTTTTTATGCATTTCAGTTGCGCGATAGAATGAAAATCGGCCGCCAAATAGACAAAGATGAGCGGCGTCGCTTCGCATTTTTTACTGAAATTTTCTTGAGTGAACTATAAACAAAAAATTGCACGATCTTCTCGTACAGAGGCTCGTGCAATTACAAGAACTTTCAAAACATTATTCGTGTCTATTAATTTCCAAATTGTACTCGAGATCGTGCGATTTCCTATACAAGTTGGAGTCTCTAGAGTCCCAAAAATTAAATTGCACATTTTAGGCACAGCGACTATTGTAACCCTTATCTATTTACTTTAATGAAACTATTTCCAATGAAACTATAACTTTCATTCAACTTGTTTTCAAATTCTATAACCCTAACTTTTTATACAATTTTTTTTTTTCGATTGCTTCTTTACTTTAACTATTGATTGATACAATTGAACTTATTTAATGAGCAGGAGATCCGGATAGCGAGAAAAATTGTGCTCAAGGTGTTGAAATATGGATTTTGTACGCCAGAGCTTTGACTCCAATTGGCCTTTCGAAAAGATTACAGCGAGCAGCTCTCGAAATTTCTAGCCCGAAAGGTGATTGTAAGAAACCGTTAGCGGGTAGAGAGCGTTACCTGACCGCCGCTAGGAACGGTTACGGGGTGACTATAAAAAAAGTTTTTCGTTAGGTTTTCTCCTCTACATGACCAATACGTTCACTATTGAGACTCTTATACTAATCACATTTCGATTTGTACCGGAGGGAGGAAAACTGGAGAGCCTGGATTAACCCTTGTGTTAATAGAGAGAACAACACGTCAACTAACCCGCTCAACTCACATTTGCGATTAACTGGTCCGGCGAGAATCGAACTTGCGAGTCCGGGGTTGAGGGAGAGAGAGAGAGAATGAATGAATGCACCTTTATTTGAGGACGATAGTTTCATAAGTGTCATACACTTCTTTACATGAAAGTCGTACTTCATAAGAAAGAGATTTACATATAATATGTGATA